GCAGCAAGCAAGCCTCCCTGCTCGCTTCAGTGCCTGGCTGCCGGCCGCCATCTTGGCTGACAGTTAATTTGCATATACTCACTGATTAGCCAATGAAAAGGGTAGCGGTCGTACGCCAATTACCATGTTTCTCTTTTATTAGTGTAGATAATCATTTTGTTATAGTAGATTTTGGTTGTTGAAATGTTATTTGAAATAGGACCATAAGAGATATATGTATATGTATATATACATACACACACATAGGTATATATAATATACATACATATAATTATATATCATAGGTCATTTTATTGTATTAAGAGAGTTCTCAGTGTCTAAATGTAGTATAATGAATAAGAAAGCACATGCTTTGAAGTTAGGAATCATTTATTTGTCTTCTGACCTTTGGCAGGTTATAAAACTTTCCTGAACTTTTTATTTCTGTTAAACGGAGATAATAGCAATACCTAACCAATAGAATTATTGTAAAGATTTAAAGGTGATAACACATACAAAAATGTTTTATAGCTGCAAATTCCTATGTAATTGTGAGTCATTTTTATGCCACACATGTGCTCCTGAAAATTGGATTTAAAATGAATAATTTTATCTAATTAAGGGGAACTTGCTATCTAACAGAGCATAGACAGTCTTTAAGAAGTGTTTTACTGTAATGGGGAGCAGGGATAAGAGTAGCTGGAGATATATGTGGAGTTAAGAGGGGCTGAATTTCAACATATTTGTATGCTGAAAAGAGTGATCCAATAGAAAAAAAAAATAGATGATGCTGGACAGAGGGACAAGATCATTTCCTTGAGTATGCAAGAAGGCATATGATCTAGAATACAAATGGAAAGATTGGCCTTATATAATCTAAGGAGCACAAATATGTCCCTAGTCTTTTCACTTAAATTATACTGTTGGCTTTTTTAAAATTTTTTATGTGTAGTAGTGAAATCACGGGTCCCAAGTTCACTGAATTTTGAAAAATATTTTTGTGTAGTTACCATCTAGGTTAGCATACAAAACATGTTCATCTCCCCAGAAAATTCTCTCCTGCCTCTTTTTAATCCATCCTACTCCCTGTCACACCAGGCAACCATTTTCTTTTTTAAAAAAATCTTTATTGTTGAAACTATTATATATGTCCCCCTTCTAGCCCGCCCCCCCATTTTCTCCCCCTACCCCAGGACTTCACCATCCTATTGTTTTGTCACATGTCTTCATTTCTCCTGGATATATGCTTAGGGCTGGAATTGCTGGGTCAGATGGTAATATTATGCTTCCTTTTTTGAGGAACTGACAAATTTTTTTCCAAGTCGGCTGCAGCATTTTACGTTTCCAATAGCAGTGTGTGAAGAATACATTTTTGCCTATACTTGTTATTGTCTGCCATTCTTTGCTGAGAGACTCTGTGCTTGTTGAGGCATATCTTCAACACTCATTCTGCTTACAACTCTGCCTTAGCCTGCATTTCCTGCTTGTGCAGGGCCTCATGCTCAGAAGGTATTGATTAGGGCTTTTTCTGGGCTTGATCGTGCCCATAGTCCTGGGCACATGTACATGGCATTCTAGATAATCAGGAATATGCAGAACTTTTCAAAACCTTTTATGGCAATCTCATGTCCCCACCAAGAAGATGGAGTTATTAGCAAGATGGTTGTTGATGAGAGAGAAGAATCACACATGAAGCTTAGGTTTCTGGATTTAAAAAGAGAATGATTAGTATAAGAGTTAAGGACACTCGTTATAGTATTTATTCTAGCACCATAAGTATAACTAAACATTTCTACTGTTCAGAGGGCTAGTCAATATTAATATATCAATAGATAAGCAATTTCTTTCTCCAGGTCTTTTACTCTAATATTTATGTCAGTGCGCAAAATTTGTTAAGTGTCCAAAAAAGTAATACAATATAGGTTTATGTTGGCTGGAGCCCTGAATTATGAGACTTTAAAAAATTACATCTCCTCTCCACACACAAAAAAAGTCATTGAGAATTTTTTATGCTAGCATATATTCCAGGAAAAAGGCATTGCTAAGATTTGCAACAAATATAGTAATTCCAGTATGGATCAGTCATAGTTTTTGGCCATAGTAGACGCCATGTTGTTCACATCTAGTAAAGCAAGAAAAAAAATAAATGCTTACTTATATAGTGCCTTCATCATTTAAGAAGGGTAATACATATTATTTACTGGCCTGGACTCTAGTTTATATGTGCTTGCATTTAAGAAACTAGCCATTTTAAAGAATTAGTGTTTTTAATAGAGTTCATTTGTCATATTACAGTGAAGTCATATAGTAGTTTGTCAATTATGTACAATGATGGAGAGGAAAACATTACATGAGTAGTTTAAAATTATTTGCTTTTATAAATTATTGAGTAGTTTTTACTTAACTGACTGTATGAAGACACCTCTTATGTGCTACTTTAAGTTTAGACCTTAGACAGCCACTGCTTCTGCAATAGTTTCTACAGAGGCTTCGAACCATTGCAGCTTGACAGCATCTCTCTTGCAATGCAGGACAGCAGTTAATGTATACATTCTTCTTCTTTTGTCCTTTAGACAAGAAGCTCTGAATCACATTTCATACGGTTTGCTGAAAAGATTGAGCAATAATCACCTAGCAATATATGTTTCTTATTGTAAATTATAATACCACAGCAAGGTAGGGGTTACATGGGGACATGAACTTCCATGTCCTTGATTGTTCCAGGACTTGCTCCATGCTCTATAATAACTTTCAGTAGTTGCGTGTTTTACTAGTTAGAGAGAGTTAATTATTATGTCTATTGAGTATAAAACTTTGTTGTAAGAGATCTTTAAAAAATCATTAAAATTAATTAGATTGAGTCATTGACTGTTGAGTATTAGGGAAAAAAATCACAGGATCTGGTTTCTTGTTATATTTTATTTCATCTAATTTAAAAGTCATCATGCTTTCTAAATGGCTTTGTGCTACCTCTAAGTTGTTGTCCTGCATGTAATAGGAAAATAAAAGGTTTAATAAACTAGTATGTTAGGTTTATTTTCCATGATGAGGTAAAGATATTTTTATTTGTGTGCATTTTACACATCACCTTACTTTCAGAATTATTTCTAACTTGTGCTTGTATTTTGTTTATTTTAGTGAAAATATTCTCTTTGGAATGGGAAATCCTCTTCTCGACATCACTGCTGTAGTGGATAAGGATTTCCTTGATAAGTAAGTATTAAACTTTTCATATGTACTATGTGAAACATATCTAAAGAGAAACTGATGAAAACTCTAGAATTGAATTTACTCTGTAACACCTTTAATTGGAGAAAAACTCAGGTAATTTAAATCTGTTTATTGCAGTTGTACTATCATTATTTATTGAGTGTTTGACCACAATTTTCCCTGGGAAAACTTGGTACATTTGTTCATCCCTATTGCTATTTTCATTTAAACTTTATTTTTTTATTCTTTGCGAGGAAGAAGTATATATGATTTATCTAATGATTTAATTTCCAATATTCAAAATTTAAAAAATTCCCAACATTTAAAAAATTAATGTTAGTGGAGCATTTCACCCCAAAACAGCAGAATATACATTCTTTTCAAGTGCACATTGAACATTTTCTAGGATAGACACATGTTAGGATACAAAACCAGTCTTAATAAATTTAAGAAGATTGAAATCATCAAACATCTTCTCTGACCAAAAGGGTATGAAATTAGAAATCAATCTTAAGGAAAAAACTGAAAAACACGAAGACATGGAGACTAAATAACATGTTACTAAACAATGAATGGGATAACAATGAGATCAAGGAAGAAATCAAAAGCTACCTTGAAACATGAAAATGAGAACACAACAACCCCAAATCTCTGGGACATAGTGAAAGCAGTTTTAATAGTAAAATTCATAGCATTACAGGCCTACCTCAAGGATCAAGAAAAATCTCAAACAATCTAACTTTACACTTAAAGAACTAGAAAAAGAACAACAAATTCCAAAGTGAGTAGAAAGAAGGAAATAATAAAGAATAGAGTAGAAATAAATGAAATAGAGTCCAAAGAAACAATTCAAAAGATCAATGAAACTAAGAGCTGGTTCTTTGAAAAGATAAACAAAATTGGCAAACCTTTAACCAGAGTCATCAAGAAAAATTGAGTGAGGACCCAAATAAATAAAATCAGAAATGAAAGAGGAGCAGTAAAAACTAACACCACAGAAATACAAAGGATTGTAAGAAAATAACTACAAACATCTATATGCCAACAAATTGGACAATCTGAATGAAAAGGATAAATTCCTAGAAACATACAGTCTTCCAAAACCGAATTAGGAAGAATAAAAGAATCTGAATAGACAGATTACAACTAGTGAAATTGAAGCGGTAATAAAAAAACTCCCAACAAATGAAAAGTCTGGGACTGGATGGCTTCACAGGCAAATTTTACCAAACATTCAAAGAACTAACTCCTCTCCTTCTCAAACTATTCCAGAAAATTCAAAAGGAGGGAAGACTCCTAAGCTCATTTTACGAGGTCAGCATTATCTTAATTCCAAAACCAGAAAAAGATACAACAAAGAAAAAAAATGATAGGTCAATATCCCTGATGAACACAAATTCTAAAATCCGAAACAAAATGCTAACAAACCAGATCCAGCAATACATTAAAAAGATCATACACCATGATCAAGTGTGATTTATTCTGGGAGTGCAAGGTTGTCACAATATCTGTAAATCAGTAAACATGATACATCACATAAACAAAATGGAGGATAAAAATCACATGATCATATCAATAGATGTAGAAAAAGTATTTGACAAAATCCAGCACCCGTTTTTGATAAAAACCCTTGGCATAGTGGAAATAGAAGGAACATACAGCATTCTCAATTGGCAAAAGCTAAAGCATTTCTTTTAAAATGAGGAACAAGACAAGGATGTCCACTCTTATTCAACTGATAAATGAATTCAGTAAAGTAACAGGATACAAAATAAATATCCAGAAATTGGTTGCACTTTTATATACCAGTAATGAACTTATCAGAAAGGGAAACTAAGAATTCTATCACACTTGAATAATAAAAACCTAGCAATAAATTTAACCAAGGATATAAAAGACCCATATTCAGAAACTTATAAGACACTGAAGAAAGAAATTGAAAAAGATACAAATAAGTGGAAGCATATACCGTGTTCACGGATAGAAAGAATTAACATCATTAAAATGTCCATACTTTCTAAAGCAATCTATAGATGAAATGCAATTCCTCTCAAAATACCAATGGCCTATTTTACAAAATTAGAACAAGTATTCCAAAATTTTATGTGGAACCACAAAAGACCTCAAATAACCACAGCAATCCTGAGAAAGAACAAAGCTGGAGGAATCACACTACCTGAAATCCAACTATACTACATGGCCATAGGAATCAAAATAGCATGGTACTTGCATAAAACAGACATATCTATATATATAAAAGGCTGAGACGGGCCTGTAGGTATGATGCACACTGACCACCAGGGGGCAGACGGTCAATGCAGGAGCTGCCGAGCGACAGCAACTTTGCACAGTGCCCTCTTGCACTCCGGGACCCCTCGGGGGATGTCGGACTGCTGGTTTTGGCCTGATACCCGCAGGCCAGGCCGAAGGACCCCACCTGCCGGAGGAACCCGGCTCACTCCGCAGATGCCCTTTGAGCCTCGGTGCCGCCCCAGGTGTGGCCGCCCTTGGAGGTACCACAGGAGGTTGGCTTCAGGGTGTGTCTGGCCCATCTCGCTCAGTCCTGCCCCACCGGCCACCTTCTAATTAATTTACTTTTAATGTGCACGAATCCGCGCACTGGGCTGCTAGTAGATTAATAAAACAGAATAGAGAATCCATAAATAAGCCTTATGGTCAATTAATATTTGACAAAGGAGACAAGAACATAAAATGGGGTAAACATAGTCTATTCAATAAATGATGTTGGGCCCTGACCAGTTTGGCTCAGTGGATAGAGCATCGGCCTGCGGACTCAAGGGTCCCGGGTTCGATTCCGGTCAAGGGCATGTACCTTGGCTGCGGGCACATCCCCAGTGGGGGGCGTGCAAGAGGCAGCTGATTGATGTTTCTCATCGATATTTCTAACTCTCTATCCCTCTCCCTTCCTCTCTGTAAAAATCAATAAAAATATATTTAAAAAAATGATGTTGGAAAAATTGGACAGGTACATATAAGAAAATGAAATTAGACCATCTTCTTACACCATGCACAAGAATAAACTCAATAAACTGGATTAAAGAGTTAAATGTAAGACTCAAAACCATAAAAATCCTAGAAGAAAACATAGGCAGTAAAATCTTGGGTATTTTTCCTAGCAATATTTTTTCTGATATACTTCCTCAGGCAAGGGAAAAGAAATAAAAAATGGGACTATATCATAATAAAAAGTTTTTGCACAGCAAAGAAAACTGTCAACTAAAAGAACACACTGAATAGGAGAACATCTTCACCAATGATATATATGATGGGTTCATATCTAAAAATTATAAAGAACTTATAAAACTCAACACCAAAAACCCCCAAACAATCCAATTAAGAAATGGGTAAAGGACCTGAATAGACACTTCTCCAAAGAGGACATAGAGGTGGCCAATAGACATATGAGAAGATACTCAACATCACTAATCATCAGAGAAATACAAATTAAAACCACAGTGAGATATTACCTTGCGCTTGTCAGGATGGCTATTAGCAATAATTCAACAAACAAGTGTTGGGGATAACATGGTGAAAAGGAAACCTCCATGCACTGTTGGTGGGAATGTAGATTGGTGCAAACACTATAGAAAACAGTATGAAGGTTCCTCAAAAAATTAAAAATGGAACTGCCTTATGACAGAGCAATTCAACTTATGGGTATATATCTGAAGAAATCCAAAACACTAATTCGAAAGACTATATGCACCCCTATGTTCATTGCAGCATTATTTACATTAGCTAAGGTATGGAAGTAACCCAAGCGCCCATCAATAGATGAGTGAATAAAAAAGCTGTGCTATATATATACAATGGAATATTACTTGGCCATAAAAAAGAAGGAAATATTATCATTTGTGACAGCATGGATGGACTTGGAGAGCATTATACTATGTGAAATAAGTCAGAGAAAAACAAGTGCCATATGATTTCACTTATATGTGGACTGTAAAGAACAAAATAAATGAACAAAACAGAAACTGACTCATAGATACTGAGAACAGACTGATGGTTATCAGCATGGATGGGATTTGGGGGCCTGGACGAAAAGGTGAAGGGATAAAGAAGTACAAATTGGTAGTTACCAAATAGTCATGGAGATATAAAGTATAGCACAGGAAATATAGTTAATATTGCAATCACTATGTATGGTGTCAGGTGGATACTTCAAATATCAGGGCATCACTCTGTAAAGAATATGATTGTCTAACCATCATTCTGTACACCTGAAACTAAAACAAAATAATATTGAATGTAAACTGTAATTGAAAAATAAAATAAAAAAAGAATGAAGCCAGACAAAAAGAATACATAGTGTATGAATCTATTTATGAGACTATATGAAATTCATTTTAATCTATACAGTAATAAAACAGGTAATTGGTTTCACATGCATTGACCAGGATGTGGTGGAGGGTGGGAAGGAGAGATTGCAAAGGGACAGTTGAGAGCTCTTAGGGGTGTGTTTCTTATCTTGATTTTGTGATGATTTCATGAGTATATACATGTATTAAAACTTTAAATATGTACAGTATATTGTATGTCAGTTTTAACTCAAAGCTTTATAAATAAATAAAAAATCAATTGAACTTGAGTTCATGGATTTGAAGTTTGCTTAGTGTGAGATATTTTTTCCAGGAAGTCAACTAATTAATAGTCACTATTTTATTTTATTAAAATTACTAGAGGCCCGGTGCACGAATTCATGCACCAGTGGGGTCTCTCGGTCTGGCCTGTGGGATAGGGCTGAAACCAGGTCTCTGACATCCCCCGAGGGGTCTAGGGCAAGAGGGCGGCGCAGGTCAGGCTGAGGGACCCCACTGGTGCACAATCGGGGCCGGGGAGGAACACGGGAGGTTGGCCAGCCAGGGAGGGACCGTGGGAGGGCTCCAGGGTGTGTCCGGCCAGTCTTGCTCAGTCCTGATCAGCCAGACCCCAGCAGCAAGCTAACCTACCCGTCGGAGCATCTGCCCCCTGGTTGTCAG